TGGCGGCCCAGAAAAGAACGCGTTCGATAGCGTATTATATTATTTTTCGACTTTAACCAAAGGGCCTCCAGTAGAGAAAAGACCAAGAGATGAGTAGACTTCTTTGTGATTTAACCTTTTACTTGCCTGTATATATTGAATGGCTTAATCATCATGTTCAACGAAGCGAAGCGTGATTTTTATTCGTCTTATGGTTTACGCCAATGAATTAATTTTCGGTGCGTTCACGTTAAAACAGTGCTCCTCCCGTCTAGTCATTGAAATTTTAAAGATAAGTTGATTACGGCTCAGCTGCTGACGGTGAGTTTGAGTAAAGATTATTATGAGCAGAGCTATTAAAAGAGAACCAAAAAGTCCAATTTGTGTGGTGGGTATTGGTATCAAATCATGATTAAATTGTCTAGAAAAGTTATCTTTTTTTGGTTGTTGAAAGTCATTGTCTGCAGCTTCAAAATGCAGGAAAACACATCCTTACGACTATAGAATTTCAAAATTTTCCGGGGGAGCATGCCCCCGGACCCCCCTAGAGGGCAAGGCCCTCCGGGCCTTGCCAATTCTTTGCCCGGGTGTCAAACTCAGTTGCCCTCCTGTTCAAAACCTTAATGAACCCCCTGCACAGCTGCATTAGACTACACAGCAAATAATTTTCTTCTCCATTTCTAACTTTCAGGGCTTCTGATCAGAAGGTTGTTGTGTCTGGAGTGGTCACAAAAGGCAATGCTGATTTCAAGGCAGATGCAGTTAAAGTGGCCCATGAAAAGCCTTTGCCGCAACATGATAAAAGACCTCAAGGTCCTGGAGGGAAGGCCCCTGGAATGGTTATTCAACAACCGAGAAAGCAGTAGAAATTTTTTAAATTAAATATAGTGATACACTGTGCAGTGGAGTCACTGCATGGGCTCTCAACTAAAATAACAGCAACTTGTATAGTTACTGATAATTTCTCCATAATAATTATTTCTTTGTTCTTGTTTTGAGGTTTTTACATCTGCTTTGCATCTTTGGGTTGACGGCAAAGGTTATTTGATTTTACAGGCAATAAAATAATTAACCTTCCATCACATTGTTTTCTCCCTTTGAAGTACCTGTCTTCCAGCACCATAAATTAAATCAGAGAATATTCACTTAGCAGTCTGAGAAACTACGGCCGACAATCCATTGTTCTGAAAATAATGTACTGACTGTACTGACTGCCGGCTTCACTGTCACAAAAATGTAAGTACAGTAGCTGCTGGGGTATTAATTTGTTAAATTTGGCAGTTTATATGTGATTGGAATGTTTTCGTAGTGTCTTGGTGTTGCAATATTATTAATGCAATCACCAAATGACATAATGCAAAAGACTCAAAAGACACTGAACAATACCCCCCATCACAAAACAAAAGCCAGCCAACAATGGTTTCCACAACAGCAAGAAGGAACACTCAATGTTTTTTGGCTTCCTCAAACCCCCTGTACACCTACCTTGTAGCTTAAAACTTGGTTCAGTCATTGTGTTTGTTTTGAAATACCGTCTAACCTCTCCTTACAGATACCTCTATAATACGGACACCTCTCTATTACGGACAGTTCGTTTAGTCCCAGAAATGCCAAAAATCATACATTCCCCACCTCTATAATACAGACACCTCTGTAAAGCAGACACTTGGTTCTGTCCCTTTGGTGTCCCTATTAACCCTTTAAGTCCCAGTAGTGACCAACATCAATTTTCTCCTATCGATATCTATATTCTGTCAAGAGATAAGTTAAGAGAATAAATAAAAATTTAATGATCACCCAAGAGAAAATACCTTGCTCTATTATCAAATTACTCTCTCAACTAATTCTTAATGAAATGTATGGAGATCAGTTTGGGAGAATTTGTATGTGGATAGTCGGGCTTAAAGGGTTAAAGAGGTTTGACTGTATTGAAAGGTTAACTGTAGAAGATCCAATTGACTACACTCTCATTTTTCTTCGGAAACAAAGGTAGTATAGAAAATACAAATCAACGTAGGATCAAAGATCAGTAAGAGCCTCTTTCCACCTACCCTTTCAGTTTCTCTTTTGCCTGTCTGCCTCATAGCCTCTTTTCCTAAGAATGGTAAACTTAGTAGGTATTTTACTCTTTTTCATTTAAGTGGATTAGAATTTGAGTTGTAAAGATGTTGAGAACACAAACAGTAAAGTGAAAAAAATCATAAACTGATAAAACCTTTCTCTTCTTCCCAACATTTTGTCATTGTGTTAATTTGTATGCCCATGCTTGCCCTTTTAATAAAGCATTATTTCCACACTCTGATTTGACAGCTTATTGCAGTCAAACTGTAGTCTGAGAAATCCTGGTAAAAATTACCAAGCAACTTGATTGTATAAAAAAAATGCAAAAAAAGGGTAAACTATACACCATAAAAGTAACCGAGTCAACCTTTTATCTTGCCTAATTTTACCCATATGGGTATGCAGCAAATTTAATAGTTGTTAGGAAATCAGATCTTAAGAATTTTCAAGACAAGTCATTTGTACAAATAGGACATCTTTGCTTTTATTTATTAACAATACATTTATTCTAAAATAAATTATTCATACTTGGTTGTAAAAGATAAAAAAAATTTAGGTAGGTCTATGTAAAATGTTAATGATAAATTTTGACACAAACCACCCTAAAAAGAGCTACACTTTTACAAAGAACAGTGCTAACTCAGAAAATGTTGAAGAAAATGCAAAAAAAATTATTTCTCAATTGTATGGACCAACTACAGTAGTATGCCCATAGTAAATTCTCTTGCATTAAGAATAAATTCCCATAATGCTTATTCCAAACAAGAGCCTGCTTAGTTAAGACAATGACATGTGCCCTTGGTGTCCACATTGAAGTTGTATTTACTTTACATGTATGCTAAGCTTTTTTAGAAGGCCTTTGTTCACAATGACAATATTTTGATGAATCGCTACGAAATTCCTGCACAAATACAAAAAAGTTCTAACCATACAATTTCACATTACGATAGCAACTTTAAAATTCACAAGACACAGCTCAGCAGACTCACATAATCGTTTTTGACCAAATTAATGTATACAAAATTTCCTAGTATTGAAATATTTTTTTAGTAAAATATAGAAAAAATTTACTGTGAAACTTATTATTGTGTAGAATAAGTTGCACTTCCATGGTAGAAGGAGGCATATCTGACAGTTTTGCCGTGAAAATCTCCAAGTTTCTGCAAATAGTCTGAAACTACCTCTGTTATCCATGTTTAGCTTACCACTGCATTAGGTAATCTGTGGACTGAAATCCCGACAGAAATTGCATTATTTTGAGCAAACACCAACACTGTTAAATCTTTATTGATAAATAAATAGACTGTCAGGAATATACATGTAGGCTTGATTTCTGCCGTCTCCCATGCTGGGTCCAGTCTTTGATCCTCCCTGGGAGCACAGGGTCATTTTCCCAAACAACACTTGGTGATCAAGCAGGGTCCGAAATTAACTTTTTAATACGGGCGCCAACTGGCAATGAAGTATAAATTTTTGGTCGCCAGAGGGCAAATTGTTGTCGCCAAAAATTTTCCCTCCCTATTTTTCAAATAAAAGTTTAAACACGAACAAAAAATGCATGGCATGGACGTTTTTATGCTCAAAAATTGCAATACTTTCGCTCCCGATACCAGAAAGCAACCGTATGTGTATGAGTGAAGTCTTATTTTTTCCACAAATTACTTTTTGGAGATATAGAGCTGTCTGACCTAGAACGTAGGAACAGAAAGCTGTCTGCCCATAATTAACTGCACTAATCATATCAAAACTCTATTTTCTTCCGATAACTACCACGAAACATAAACACGAGTCAAGCCGCCATATCACTGTGACAGTACCAGGCCACAACTGTGCCACATTACTCGTACCAGTCCACAAAGTACATAACGTACTTACCGTATTTCAGCTGAAAACAACATAGCGGCTTGGAAACGTTCAACTCGTATTGATCGTAGCTGTTGTGGAGGTATTATTCTGATTATTACAGGAAGATTCGTTTCACTTTTAGTTAAAAAATATCACCAGGACAAAAAGTAAGACA